TCTGTTCCAGGTGGAATAGATCAGTACTAGTATGGAGGTGATACAACCGATCACACTGAAAGGGCTATAAAGTGAGAGAAGACTCTGGAAGAAGGCCATAACAATAATCTCGGGGCCAAGAATTAAACAAGAAATAAATTCATTAGTGACACTGGCAAACAGTGTGATGTTAAAACACACTGCCAATACAGAAGACAGCTGGGTCTGGAAGAAGACTAGGACAAAAAAAAAAAAAAAAAAAAAAAAAAAGGAACTGAAACTTGTGAAGTGTTTCAAGGAAATCACTGAACACAAACCAAATCTCTCCAGAACAGGCCTAGAATTTTAATGTGTTTGGCCCACTGAGGCCAAGTGTTTCCAATCCAGGTAAAGCCAGATTTGTTCACATTGACACAAGAACAAAATGTACAAACTGGCCAGGCATACATGCTACAAATTTGAAAAAAATCTTTTAGAAGTAATAAGCCTACACAGCTCTCAAGGAGTTAATGTGCCACAAATCGCCCTTGGCACCCCCTTGCTATATGGAAGAATGATGATTATGTAATACTCAACATAAAGCCCCTTGACCCTCATCTCTTGGGAGTAAGTCATCAGGAGTGTTTACAAAGAAAGTTTTTCCCTACTTTGATATGTCTAAAACCTTATACTTACCCAGATCAATGTTCACTTAATGAAAAACACCTCATATTTTCCCTTCAATTCCCAATTACAAGTAGCATCGCCGGTATCACGTCAGAAGCACAGTAATCCCTAAAACCGTCAGATTTCACTCAATTCAATTACTACACTTCATTGTTTATGACCACAAGTATCACATGAATAACAGTTTTAATGACTTTCAATGAGACAAATTTAGGTATATGGTTATTTTTGACTGATGTCCCCTCACACTGAGCAAGTATTTGGAATTCAGTTATGGACACAGGTTTATAAACATTTTTGAGGCAGGAGGAAAATTTCAAATCCATGTTCAACTTTGTATTTGATACCATTATTCTGTTTCAGAGATTAAACTCTGTCTTAATCCACACTTCAAAGGGAGAGAGTATTGTGTGTCACACCAGCACCTGCCTAAGAACAACGCCTGCAGCCGACCTTCAATTTTAGAACAGTTAAATTTGGTTTTCATTCCAAATACAACTTAATTACTATTCTTAAATTAAAATTAAGGTCTTTATCTATGTGAATTACATAGGGTAGTTTGTAATTTTGTTTGTAAGAAGTCACGGACAACTGTTTGCTGTAACTTCATCAGCACTATTAGAATAAAAAATGTGGACTCAAACTGCAGTGATTCAGAGAAAGATACCTCCACTAGGTTCCTTAATACAGTTAAAATACTTAAAATCTTTGGCTCCAGCCTTTTCCTTGCTTTTACAAGATCCTTAGATTTAAATAACTAGAGGATATATGTCTCTGTATACATACATCTATATCTATATATGATTACACTGTGACATGGAAGCAAAATTGCATACAAAATTCACAATAAATACAGGCTTTTTATTATATCAACAGATATATGCCGTAATATAAAATGTTTACTTAAATTTAACTTCTGCATATTCTAGCAGACAGTAAAACAACAACATAGACTTGGGTATTTAAAAATACAGTACAAGGTTACTCTTCCAGTTCTGAAGTGGAAATACCTTATGTTTTTTATAGTGTTCCTAAAGGTTTCATTTTGCTTTCACGCAACCACACACAAATCCTATCAAAACGAAAGGATCTGCATATTTCTCTCTCATCAACAGTACCAAACATCAGGAATGACAAAGAGGTACCAGTACCAACATTTTCAGAGTCTTATCCACATCGGAGTACAGTCAGAAGCTTTACTACCTTTGCACTTACAAAATCGAGACAGGAAATGCTGGTTTCAACAATTGCCTGCGCAAAGGCTACAGCTCACATAATGGAACACTCCTTTCTCCTGGGGTCCACTGAAGTCTCACACAGACCCTGGGGCATGTCCCCAGGCCATGACTCTCAACATTGGCTTCCAGCGTAGGTGCTCGGCTGGAATGCTTTGCAGCTCTCTCCTACCCACATACCCACGTGTCCCTCCCACTGCAAGGCAAGAGCAAGAGGGCAGAGTATGGCCCCAGCTCCCTGTGTAGAGCCAGGTGCTTCCCACACAGGCCAGGAGCTGGGAAGCACTCCTCCACTCCACCACCCATCACGGCCTCATCAACTTACCCAGTGCCACACAGAACTCTGCACAGACAGTGGTGGTTCAAAGGAACTACAGGTTCATAGAATGATTTAAAGTTGGAGAAGACCTTTAAGATCACTGAGTCCTGTAAGTATCCTCACTACTACATTACATTCTATTCCCGCAGTCTTCTGCTTCATTACTTTTCAAACTGATCCTATGGACATCAGCCTCCTCTAATATGTGTCCCTGGCATATGTCAAAGCAGGTGCATTCAGTGACAGGAATTAACTGTTTTGTAATATAACTGTGTATGATCACATAATCACAATGCCACGATGCATAAACACACAGAATGCAAATCAAGGCTGCAAAGAAAACTTTACTTCCAGGAAAACTTTAACTTCCAAGAGCTCTACTCCACAACAAATTATGCTCTTACGTGTCTTTGCTTTTAGTTTGGTCAGGGTTTTTCTTCTTGTTTAGACAAAGGGGCAAACCAGAAGTGCAGCATAACATAAGCCTGAGAACACAAACACTCTGTTGTATGGTGCTGTAGAAATCCAACTGGCTGTCAACAGCTTGCATCTAAAGAGGACTACACAACCTGAGCTAAGAAATTATGCACCAGTTTTAAATACTCCCACAGCAGTATTATGATATTAATACTGAACAGCTCACTTCATCTCAAATGCATATGGTGTCTTCCAGCTGAAGAGACAGATTCAGCAATCTTATGTTCTTTTCTTCAATATACTGTAATGCAGAGGATTTAACCTCTTTTTTTTTTTCTTAGGAATTACCTCAACATGTGAGCTACGATTTAACCTCAGTCTTTGTTTTAACAAAGAGTAAATGTATCTGCTCCTCTTTATGCACAATTTCTACATCCTCTTACTTCCACTTTGCATACTTCCCATTTCTGGATCACGTTCTCTCATTTTCATTTTTGATTTCTCTGCAATTTCCACATATCCTATCGTTCTATTTTCACTAACTCCACACTCTGCCTGCAATAATTTCTCTTCAGTAACAGATTACATTTTCACTGTGCATAAAGGATTCACTTCACTGCCCTAAATTACTTGGGTAAGTTAACTTAGGAGCTAATGGCAGCATAAGTAGACAGATCTCTCTTAGGGAAGTGTCACCGTGCCATCAGCTGGCTCCTGACAGACCCAGCAATAACAGAACGTTTTGGGTGATGCCTGAGGGCTGCAGTCTACCTGCATTTTCCCTCTAAGTTGAAATAGTTAAAACAAACAAAAGAAAACCATCAAGCAATCAAAAAGCCTTGCATGAGTTGACATCTGTTCATTGCAGACCATATAAATACAGGTAAGAATGAAAAGTACATGCTTCTTCTTTCCACTCCTATTGAATTATGCAAAGATAGTGGATACTTAGGTTTGAAGTACTGCAAAAACATCTGAGATGACACCATGCTTGACGTCCCTTGACACAGGCAAACATTTCAACCAAAATCAGATTTACATCTTCCCCTCTTTTGTAGATAGAGCAGATTTAGGTACATTATATATTACTGTCAGAACAAGGCAACACATCAGAAATCAGAGTGAACTTGTAATGTGTTTAAACACCATCAGCTTCAAGAAAGAAGGGCTCAATTTTTACATGGGAAACAAAACTATGCTTACCTAGAATTGCTGCTTCCCTTGGTATTTGTCACAGTACTTTCAAGTTATTTAAAAAAGAAAGTCATGTTCAAAGTTACCAGATTTTCTCATCAAAATGTCAGAAAAGAAAATAAAAACAGGCAAGCCTACTTCAAACTATTCTCGCTATTCTGTCCCTCTTGCCACTTGATCGCAATGCCAGTTCACTCTTGTTCACATGCCATCAGTTCTGTCCTGAGTATCTTGGAACTGATGAAGAAAGAGCTCAAACAAAATTCCTGTCTTTTGTTGCAGTAAAATAAACGTCAGTCAGATGTAAAATACTAGAAATTTGCTTAGACTGACAGAGCTACGAAGCCTAAACAAAGAAGTCTAAAGACTTTTCAGTTCGTGAAGCTAAATTCTTTATTTCAGCAATGTACAGACTTGCCAGAAAATTTTTAATAGCATCTTTTTAACTGGCCACCTACTAGACTTGTGACCATATGACTTGTGACTTGTGAAAATATGAAACTCCGGGGAGTCCAAGATTTATTTTTTATAGTTTTATTTTGGAAGTATACACCATGAAAGGCCAGAGATTCACTTATATAAACAACAACTGTCATCAGCAGAAACCATTTCTAGAATAGCACAGTTGCACCTCTGCTACCAGTACAGGGATATTCCAAAACAGGATATCCTCTTTTTGAAAAGCGTGAAAAAGTAAATGGACTCTACTAAGCACTTTTGGAAGTTTCAAATTTGCTTAGCAAAACCAAACACATTTGGAGATATTTAACCACTGCTTAACAGTCCTTTAAGCAGTAGTACACACAATTCGTGATCCTTCTTCTCCAAGTTCGTCTTTTACCTGCTTAGATGCAGTGAAGCCAGTACAAGAAAGTGGAAAGCTGCTGCCTTACCAGTTACAAGTGTTACTTCCATTTATTTAAGAACTTCAGTAGAAGTCTTCCATAACTTAAAAAAAACTTAAATAAATTATGTCATTCAAATGAAATTTTAAGTATTAGTTTTGAACTGCATAGTATCATGATAAATGGAAAGCATGCTCAAAGGAGATTAGAGACCATGGAGTGAATGAATTATTTGTAATTAGTGCACAAGATCAGAGAATCAGAGGATTCGCTTTAACTGCTGCATACAAGGGAAAGTTTATACCACTAAAGTAACCGAGGATATAGCTTACAAACCAGACTTACCAGTCTTGGTCAAATACTGAACATGAGTCATCACTCCTTCACTGTAAGCCCCTGGTTCGTAATTGTCCATCTCACCCGAAACAATGTGAGCTACTCTTGAAGCACGCCCTCGGATTGCACCTGCTGCACGATCCAAATCATCTGCATTTTGCTCTCGGAGTGCAATGATACACTTGTTTACATCCTCAAGAATATGGCTTTCTGCAAATAAACAACATTTCTTTTAACACAGCACCTCTTACACAGACACATTTGAGACACAGAGTTAATGGCATTTTTAATTCCGCTGTTGAAATCCACTGGCCAATACAAGCTTGGATTAAAAAAAACTCCAAACAATCTGAAATCTACTCTGAACTGTCCTTGAAATTCTTATCACCATGTATTGATTCCCAGTAAAACTCTCCTACAATCCATCAACAAACTGCCCAAACAACTAAGCTAACTTCTTTGACATCATTATGTTAAGAAGTTCATGCTAAATCAAACTCCTATGTGAACAGAAATAGCAGAATTTTTGCCTGGTGCTAAAATTACAGTTTTACTTGTTAAATTATTGTAGTATGCGTCATTATTACAAAATGTGCATTGATTACACATTTTCCATAAAATTTACTTTTTTTCTAATTTACAGTAATACATTTACTGCATTACTATGTTTATTATTGGTTTATATGCTATTGGTGATGTTTACATAGGTATTTGCAGTTTTGGTACTGAATTTTCTCTCCTGCACAGAACTACAATCTGCTTTGTCTCTCAGAGAATGTAACACAAGAGCAGCACAATACGCAAGATGTAAAGGCAACAGATTTGCTCTATCTTCAGCAGTACCAGTGTGAAATCTCTCTTGCACCAAGCCATGAAGTAATTCAGAGCTTATATGGTTTCTTGTTAACTCAAGAATGCCATTCAGTATGTCAGTATTAAATTAATACTTCATGTTATACAATAAATTGGACAACCATCGTAACTCAGACAAAACACACCAGGAGGTAATCCTGAATTACTAACTGCATCTGACATGAGAATCTTGGGATTCTGCCTATGCAAAAAGTTATGACTTCTGCTTCAGTTTATGAAATAGATACATCACAGAATGCTTCTGTGAATACGAAACGTCCCTATCATTTCAGGTTCATGTCTCCTATCTCCAAGATGAGCAGAAAAAGAAAAGCTCAGTAACAGTGACCCTGTTAGCACTGCTGGTTCAGTCTGTGAATATTCTCTGCCCACACCCAGGGACCACCACCTACATGGAAGCAGGGCAGTGAGAGGACTGGCCATTATTTCAGTTCCAGCCACGCCAAATGCACCACATCACACTGTAAAAGAAAGGGGCCAATGACAAGAAGTGCAAAGACGTCGCAGGAACTACCCTGTGCTGTACAGGTTAGTCTTGCATCTTTCTTTTTTTCAGGAATCTCTTCCCGCGTGCCTTCCACAGGTGGAGGCTTCCAAGCAGACCCATTTGTGAACGGGCATGCCGCTGAAAAAGGCTGTAGCATTAAAAGGAGAGGGCTGACAGGCACAGAATGCAGGAAAATGGACTAAAAATCCCTCCTTCTGCTGCCATAGTTACGTCTAAAATGAAGCAATATAGCTTACTATTGCGTTAGGTTTAATGTTGTTCAAGTGTTAACAGAGATAATTACAGAAGTGGATGGCACACTCACCACTTTAAGGATCTTAGTGTAAAGAATACACTGCCTTGTAATTGTTCGGCAGAGACAGTAACTAAAGGGCTTAGTCCCGAGTGAACAGAAAGGTTGGGCTTTTCTGCTATCTACCAAGTGAAATCTCCGTAACAGGAAAACATGGTTAACTGGTTATCTTGCGTGACATCAATCTCAAATTTAAAAAAAAGAAAAGAAAATAAAAATTGGACGCTTCCATTACTGCATAATGGAAATACATCACGAATGAAACATGATGGAAAGCTCCTAGCTTCCAAATTGTTCTAAGGGTTGTTCAAAACACTTTGATGAAGAAAAAAAAAGAGAGGCAAACCTGAGGTCAAATGCTCAATGGAAATGCAATGAGACCCATACATTGTGGACTGAGATCCCAATTAGCTGCTTCCTTCCAAATTAGTAAGAATGCTTTTAGGTCATTTTAGAATCAAAGTATCAAAGCCCATAATAGTATCAGGGAATATATATTACAGTGTGATATATGCTTCAAGTTACTCTGTTTCAAAGAAGATGAAGACAGAAGCAGAGTTTATTAACCTATATTGCCCAGCCCCTTGTACCAGAAAAGACGCGCAACAACTCTTCTCGCTACATCCCTACACTGTCACATGTGCGGGGTCAGCTGAGACCTCGACAAAGGCCAGTCTGGCCTGAAAAACTCAGCAGCTCTTCTGAGCGTCACAGAACGTGCATCCAACAAGCATGAATGAGCTTGTCCCCACACACGGGAACCACACGGTGGTAGCCTTTCTGAATATCTTTAGCCAACACACAGTCTCTTGCAGCATTCTAAACCTCTTCTCAGACAAGGTACTTCACAAACAGTTAAACCTCGATTAACTTAATTTTCCCAAGGAACAGAAAAGCTTATATATTTGCCTTAGTATACCTAACAGAAAAGGAAAGAAATCAGCATGGATCACAGGCTGAGACTGTTTTAACCTGTATCTTTCTAACAGACGGCTCCTCCTCCTATGCAAAATGCATGAGATCAACTTTTGATTTTCATCCAAGTACCCTACTTTCCAAAGCAGAAGAGGAAGATCAGGATGATGTACCATCTCTTTGTCATGAGCCAGTGTCTAGCGTAAGAGCTAATTGTAACACTGGAGTGATAGATATTTAAAGAAATTGTCAGACTGCCATGGTCAGCACAGCAATTACCACGAGTGCTGCACTGCACCTTCCAATCTTCCTTGGGGACTTGGTGTTAGTCGTACAGGCCAAAAATCATATCTCAGCTAACTACTGGATAATAAAGCTGTCTTTGACAAAGCCATGACTCAGACTGTCTCTGAACAAAATCAATAGCTCTTCCTTTGCATGTCAGCTGAACAAAAAGACAGGTGATGCCTTTCCACTCCACTTGGCACTGATAAGGCATGAGTTCAAGCACTTTCTATTGAAGTTTATCCACTCATTTCAAGAAATGGACCAAATGGAGACATTATAGGAAAAAAAGAAAAAAAATGAAAACAGAACTATTAGAGATGTAAGAAATATAGTATATGAAGAAGCATTAGAAAACTCAATTTCTTTGGTCTCAGGAAGGCAAGATGGAAAATAAAACATACTTTTCTGCAAGCCCTAAATCATAAAATTAGATGTAGATATGCATACAGCAATAGTTTAGCCTGACCAAAATGATTTCTATCTTTTATCATCTGTTGGTATGATAAAATGGGAAGCAAAGAAACTCTGTGCAAAAAGTAAACTTCCTTTCAGACCACTCCTGTTCCCTGGACACGTCACCTCACAGCACTACTCAGAAACGGATTCCAAATTTTCCAGTAATGGCATTACCTTGTACAGCAAAAGACAAGCTCCCACAGACTCATAATGCTTTGGTGAACTGCAAAAATATATTTCAAAGCAAGTATTTATTAATAATACCCATACCTAGATTTAGTAATTTATGGTGCCAGATTAAGACAACAAGACTACTAAGTGGAAGGTACAAGTCCTAGTATACAATTCCTTGTTAGTACTCCTCCTGCATTCTGATGAAAAAAAAGTTTATTTCTCACCATTTTGCTATAAAAGCAAAGTTCAGAGAATACTCAAGGCTAATTCTTCATAAGCAATCTTATGAAACAGATTTGCTTGGCACTTGGGGCTCTTTCTAATAAAATATCTGCAAACTGTGAGCATGACGGTGTCTTAGTCGCTACTGAGAGACGAGATCACTGGTAACCACTTAATATTCAAAGTCCCCGGCAACTTCAACAGAAGATTTTTTAAATGAATAAAGAAGTGGAGAAAAATAATTACTCAGAACAAGGAAAATGAGTATCCTTTCTTCTCTAATTGTATTAACTAAATACATTTTATCTGCCAAAACTCATAGAAAGGTAAAATCTAAGAATGTTCAGTATCATGGGACATAGTCACCACATATTTGTGCTTATCTCAGACAGTGAGCCGGAAGCTGCAAGACGAAAGTTACAAGACAACAGCAGAATAGGGATGTAAAATGAAGATTAATGTAGGCAGATAAAAGAGGGGATGACATACAAGGCACACCTCTAGGCAAGGTACTGAAGGTTCTTCAGGTTCTACGACTATGTGAGCAAGTCCCTATAGATGACTTTTGGAGGAAAAGAAGCAACACTTTAAATTGTGTAATAAATTTGCTTAGGTTTTTAGAAACTTCAGCCTGTAGTCTGAAGCATTAACTTCAATTCTGTTTACAGAAAATACTAACTGAAGTATGTATTTCTTTTGGATTTTACCTTCGGGGGAACAAAGTATTGATTGAGTTGGCAGTCTCTCAGAAACATTCATTTTCATTCACATATGCACAAATCATTTCAAGATATCACCATTTAAACACACGAAAGCTAAAAAGAAAAAACAACCACCACCCTCCCCAAACCCCTTAACACATCCCCACCAAGAGACTCTCTGAAAATAAGAATGTTTGTTAAAGTGAGTGTCTATTAATTACAGAGTTGGCAGCTTTAATTGGCTAATGAAGGTTTCAGATTACAGAAAATTTCTCTCCTTATAAGAATGAGAACCTTAGAGTAATACTAATCTTTTCCGGAGTTTGATTTCTTCCCCTCATTCATTTTAACGTGATTACAGTAAGATTTGGTTGGTTTGAGATGCTAAGTGCTTATGTTTCAATCCTACACCCTCAATATCTGGGCACAAAATTCAGCCTACAGAGAGGTTCCAGGATTTTCAGCTTCCTCGTTCAACATTCAAATGTCTTCCAGGATCTTGGGGGAATTAAGGAAACAGACTCTTAAACTCTCAGAAGGTTTAAGTCTCTCTCCTTCCCTAGACCCTTACATGAGCCAAGCTCTGAGATCTCTGGAAAGAGGTACAGTGTAAAAGCGTCATCTGCAGAGAAGAAAGGTAGAGTTCAAAAGCAGACCAGGAGATGGACACCTAGAAGGGCAAGAAAGAGCAGACAGGAAAAGCAGAAGCGCACCCAGCTGGGCAAGGGTCACACTTCTCTCTACATACTCCAGTTCTCTCCTGGGCTAAAAGATGAAAGAA